AATAAAACATTGCCCTGGTAGAAAATGTTGTATGACCTGAAATGAGGCATCAATCAAGTCGAAATAATCTGTGACCACCCTTGTTTTCAAGTAGAATTAACCAACATATAGATTGAGAGTTATTTTAAAAAAGTGGCTATATGGCCAGAAACCGGTCAAGGTTTTCAAAATTGACTAAATGACTGGCAGTCCTGTCTTTTCAGTAAATTTCACAAATCGAAAAAATCCGGCTAAACCAAACTATCATATGTCGATTAAGAAAAGTCAAGCGATCCAGAAATACGTTATACATCTCAAGAATAGCGTTTGGTTCACGCTGGGTTCAGAAGACGAAACCATGTTTTGTGACACTTAAAACTTTTTTCAGCTCAACTGCCGGTCAAGGTTTTCAAAACACTAAATGACCGGCAGTCCTATATTCTCAGTAAATTTCGCTTGACTTTTCTTAATCGACATATGATAGTTTGGTTTAGCTGGATTTTTTCGATTTTATGAAATTTACAAAGAATATGGGACTGCCGGTCATTTAGTGTTTTGAAATGACCGGCAGTTGAGATGAAAAAGTTTTAAGTGTCACAAAACATGGTTTCGTCTTCTGAGCCCAGCGTAAACCAAACGCTAAGACGCTTGACTTTTCTTAATCGACATATGATAATTTAGATAAGCAGGAAAATTTCGATTTTGTGAGATTCACTGAGAATATAGGACTGCCGGTCATTTTGTGGTATGAAAGCCTTGACCGGTTACCGGCCATATGGCCACTTCGCTCAATTTAAGACACTGAAACTCATTTCTGGTCCCTTTGCTCAGAATTATTTATGAAATTTACTAGCTTGCGTTGCAGTCGGCCTACTCAACGTCGGCTTAAGTTGAAGTTTCGTTTTAAGATACCAAGGAATTTAATTTTACTGAATAACGCAATTGCTAATTGCCTTTGATTTGTGCTGACTTAATCGCCAAATTGCCAAATCTGCGGTGACGATTCAAAGTAGCGTGACAGAACAAAGGGTCAAAGAAAACAGGGCGTAATACTAGTTTGTCCGTTGGGTTAAATGTTTGAAGATCGCGCGCGCAAACAAGTCAAACCAGGGCGGATAAAGGTTGGGCGGTGAAACGAGCGCGTCCGAGCAAAAAGGTGTGATGCAGTGGACTGGAACTCTGCTTAGAAATGTCGCTTGTTTTCGAGTTCGGTCAGGGCATGCGATGTGGTTTGTACATTAGACACTGACGCTGTCACTGAATTATGGCAGCTTGATTTGTTTTCTTGCACTTTTTCCTCGTTCCTTTGTGCTGGTACGCTGTCTCCGAGAGGCAAATGTTGCTATTTTTTGCGGGAGGTTTCGTTGGAGTAGACAAACATCTCTTTCAAAGGGTTTCTTTTATTACTTCCATGACTCTACCACTGAATTATACTTTCGTTCTGCTACTCGCCAATGTCGATGTTAAAATTCTAAAACAAAAACAACTAAGTACTGTCTAAAACACGAAGGAAAATCTCATCCATGTCATCCATGGCAAAACTAAAAGACAGCAGTAGATGACGTGTATTTTATAAATGCGTGCAGCTCGTGCAAGGTGAAATTATGCTAATTTAAATCACCATCATCCGTCCTTCTTTTTAATTTTGAAAAAAACATCTCATACGTCTTTCTGTTTCTTCGAAACTTCAAAATTAGTCTCCCCTCAGTTTTTACTGTTTACCTTGTTTTGTTTTAGAGAGAAAAACGGAGAAAAAACCTTACAACTAACCTCAATAAATTTTGTTTACATGCGGTTGCCGGATTTGCAACGCATTGCGCGAATCGCCATGGCGCGTTGCACCCGAGAAACAAAGTTTTAAGAAGTACAACGCCACTATATCAATATATATCAATCTAATTTTTTGTAATGTTATATAAAAGTTATCCCCCTTTAACATATGTAAAAATTGAGGTTAAGAAGTGTTAAGCTTTTGCAAACGAAACGGTGAAAGACGATTAGGTGATATTTAGTGGAAGGAGGAGGTATTCAACACTTTCAAATAAAACTCAAATTTTGGCATTATAAGACCAACAAGTTTGACTTATAGACGTACAGACACGATTATATGAAACTGTTTATTGATATTGTTATGAAACAAATTTATCTATTTAACATTGTAGCCTGAAATTACAGAAAGCAAATAGGATTTCCGGTTTGCAAAAAGGAAAATTTCGCCGGCCCTCAAGTGCACCGGAAGCGCGGAAAGAGCGCTCGTGCCAGTCCTACTCCGCATCACACATTAAATGAAGAGCGGAGCGCTCGTTTCACCGTCCAACCTTTATCCGCCCTGAGTCAAACAATACAGACAGACCGCGGCCATGAGCACTTTTACCGTGGTCTAGACCCATAAAAATAGTGTATTTTCAACTGAGTTTCGAAAACAGCCTCTCTGGAATAATAGCCGGACAAAATATTTAGCCAGTTTTTTAAAGATCTTCGAAATATTAAATGCTCCATGCACTGGATTTTACAATTACCTGTAATTAAATTGCTATTTAAAGCTCACATTTTTCTTTCGTCAGTCTGATTCGTTTCGTCTCGGTTTTGCTTCCCTCAATTTCCCTATAGTGTATTGTTTCTATGTAGTATTCTTTGTTACCTTTCATCTTTTTTGGTCTGTATTGAAGGCTGTCATGTAGAATTGAAGGGTTGATGACCTCACTCAGGCGCTCCTAAATTGCCTTGAGAAATCTCTTTGCAAAATCTTGAATATTTTCATCGCCTTCTTTCACCAAAGCCATTTCGCTTCACCACTTTTCCCTAATTAAGACTCTACTAATGTTGTACGAGTCAGGCTGGTCGGCCTCTATTCTCAAAAAAAATGACAACTCTTTCTTGCGCTCCGCAGTATAAAATGTATTTCTAAGTGAGTTGACACTTGACAGATATTTGTTTGCCGCATTGTTTTCTCACTTCTAATTGGTCTTTTCCTTGCAACACAATAACAATCCAGTAATACTTCAGGTATCAACGACTTCCTGAGTGATATATCGGTTATCTTCACAAAAACGTGACGGCTATTTAGAGTTCGTTAGAAAAGATAGAAAACGCGGGCAATCATGCCATGAATATGGGTCATTTTGTTCGAGGCAGGCACGCGTCAAGATGATCCTAAGAACGGAAAGGAAACTTGGATTGGGTCGACATTGTGACATACTTCAAAGCGATCGCTCAACATGTGAAAAATGAACGGAGTGACCTCTGAGCGAGTCACTCGTCGATGAAGGAATATTCAATAAAGTCAAGGGCATAAAGATGTAAAGCCTTGACTTCAAAAGAACGATTTTGAAACCGAAAAGTATATCCACATCATCCATCATGTTCTTCACGTCGCAGGAGTCAAAATTCAAGTGACCTGTATGTAATTACATTTCAAGTAAGAATCCCAGCTCTCAGCTGAAATATGGTAAGTAACAAATATCAGCTAAATTACAGAATACAGCCGGCCACTTACTATTATAGCCACATTATTAAATAACAAGAGAATCTATTGTTATTTCATTGTTCAATTGATCTGATTGATACTCCATTTTGTACGATTCACCGAACATTAAGCATCGAGCAACCAACCTGTTGTAGCTAACTGTGATCTTCAGTAAGTCCGCTTTTGTACCCATTGTGGTGTCACTGACTCTACCCGACTAGTACATTCCAACTTCATTTCTCAGGGCAGTTATTAAATAAAAGGTTCATCCATTTCATTTACTTGCAGCTTCTAACTGGGTGAAGAAACATCTGGATAAAGACCTGTTTTCGCTTTTCATTTCTTGCCCGGTATCGTACATAACTTCATTCAGTATTTAGGCAATCAAAGCAAAAGTACCACGAAAGATGTTGCATTCTTTCAAATAATTGACAAAGAAGGCTATTTTTTTGCCAAATTTCACTTTAGAACATCAAAGTTAACTTTAGTCACTTTAGAACGTGTTTAGCCATACATTTTTAAAGCTGTTTCAGAAATTTTCGAAGCTTATTTTAGCCATACATAAAAACTGTTTCAGAAATTTCCGAAGCATTTGTTAAGCCATACATTTAAACTTTTTCAGGAATTTCCAAAGCATTTGTTTAGCCATACATTTAAACTGTTTCAGAAATTTCTGAAGCATTTGTTTAGCCATACATTTAAACTGTTTCAGAAATTTCTGAAGCATTTGTTTAGCCATACATTTAAACTGTTTCAGAAATTTCTGAAGCATTTGTTTAGTCATACATTTAAACTGTTTCAGAAATTTCTGAAGCATTTTTTAGGCATACATTTAAACTGTTTCAGAAATTTCTGAAGCATTTGTTTAGCCATACATTTAAACTGTTCCAGAAATTTCTGAAGCATTTTTTAGCTATACATTTAAACTGTTTCAGAAATTTCTCAAGCGTATTTTAGCCATACATTAAAACTGTTTCAGTAATTTCCCAAGCATCTTTATAACCACCAGTATTTTCAACTGATGTTCTTTGATTAACAGTTCTTTAGCCTTTCCTGTCGTATCTGAATTACCAAAGTGGGTTTTCAGACGCAAAAAATAGTCTTCTGCTCAAAAACGTGCTTCAAGTTATTATTTCTGCCGAAGTATTTCAGCTGAAAAATACGAAAAAGGTGCTATATGTTCTACTTCTTGCCGACCCTTCTGAAAATAATAAAAGAGGGTAAGTTTTGTACGAATGTAAAAAAGGCTACTTTGCACGAAATTAAACGATTTCTTTCCGACAGGGACCCGCTCGGAAAAAAATATTGATTAAAAGCAGTAAATCAGCCGGATTTTATGATAATTTCGGATAAAAATTAACAAAAATGGCCATTTTCAGCTGATTTTTTCACTTTAGAAAATCGCACTTAACTTTAGAACGTGTTTTAAGCTAGCTGATTCACTACTCAAGATCACCATCGTACGCAAAGGGCCTTATTGTGAATGCCAACATTTAGCAGGAAACTATTTTTTACTGCAAAAATGTATGTCGATAAACAGGTGGTCTCCGTTTGACTAGGCTTCTCCTTCATCCGCATCTGTGTTTTCAGCCTCAACTTTCTTGATCCAGTCAATGAACGGATAAATTCTGGTGTAGTATCCGTACTGATTCTTTTGTGCACAGCCTTCTCCCCAGCTGACAAGGCCAGTTACAATCCACCGGCACTTGTCGCCCCTTTTTCCTTCACGAACAAAGGCTCCTCCAATGTCACCGTGACATGTGTCATTTCCTCCTTTTCCATCTCCAGCGCAAAACGATACCGTAGAATTGAATGGCAGTGCAGGCCTATTACCACATAATCGATAATGTTCAATTTCATAAGCCAAGTGCTTCAATACGTTTGAATTTCGGCGAGCAACTGGCGCTTTTTTTCCTGGTTTCAAGGCTTTCGTAGCTCCCCAGCCGGCAACGTAACCGTACTTCGTAGGGATGACCAAATCCCCTCCAGTTTTCTCTGGTAGGCACACAGTGCGTACATACTTATTGAGTTCCAACTTTTGTTCGAGTTTTACCAGTGCTATTTCGTTTACCATCAGATTGTATTTGAAGCCTTGGTGAACATATATGTTCTTCAATGTCACTGTCTTTTCCGACTTCTCTCGTGGGTCCTTGTTCAAGTTGTGGTCACCTACTTTCAACTGGTACTTATTTTAAGACATTGAAAAATATATATGATCCTGTAAATACTCCAACATTACAGTAAACACAATTTTATACTTGCCAACAAGCGTGAATGTCGAAACATTTATTTGCTCTCATTCAACACAACTTTTTCCACGAAATTCGAACTCCAGTTTGTCAAAGTCTGTGGGATTCGTTTCTCTATCTGGGAAAGCTTCATTGGTTTCTATATCTGCTGCTATCCTATTTCTACGATCCTGGGATGTTTATTTTCCGTTGGAGTTCGAATTTCGTGGAAAAAGTTGTGTTGAATGAGAGCATATCGGCGAAAATGGCATCTCGTGTTTCCTACCTTGTATATTATTATTGTAGATAGAGTGAATTTGAACAAATTACTGCAAATTATCACGAAATTTCGTTGGAGAAATAAGGACAACAACAATTAACTGCAGAGTAAGTTTCATTGATCTTTATTTAGTATTTCCTAGAAATTTTAGGATGGTATTTTTACCCCATACAAACACTGTAATTTTACTGGAACCGTACTGTGGTACTATCACAGAGCCTGGGTNTCCTTTTCCATCTCCAGCGCAAAACGATACCGTAGAATTGAATGGCAGTGCAGGCCTATTACCACATAATCGATAATGTTCAATTTCATAAGCCAAGTGCTTCAATACGTTTGAATTTCGGCGAGCAACTGGCGCTTTTTTTCCTGGTTTCAAGGCTTTCGTAGCTCCCCAGCCGGCAACGTAACCGTACTTCGTAGGGATGACCAAATCCCCTCCAGTTTTCTCTGGTAGGCACACAGTGCGTACATACTTATTGAGTTCCAACTTTTGTTCGAGTTTTACCAGTGCTATTTCGTTTACCATCAGATTGTATTTGAAGCCTTGGTGAACATATATGTTCTTCAATGTCACTGTCTTTTCCGACTTCTCTCGTGGGTCCTTGTTCAAGTTGTGGTCACCTACTTTCAACTGGTACTTATTTTAAGACATTGAAAAATATATATGATCCTGTAAATACTCCAACATTACAGTAAACACAATTTTATACTTGCCAACAAGCGTGAATGTCGAAACATTTATTTGCTCTCATTCAACACAACTTTTTCCACGAAATTCGAACTCCAGTTTGTCAAAGTCTGTGGGATTCGTTTCTCTATCTGGGAAAGCTTCATTGGTTTCTATATCTGCTGCTATCCTATTTCTACGATCCTGGGATGTTTATTTTCCGTTGGAGTTCGAATTTCGTGGAAAAAGTTGTGTTGAATGAGAGCATATCGGCGAAAATGGCATCTCGTGTTTCCTACCTTGTATATTATTATTGTAGATAGAGTGAATTTGAACAAATTACTGCAAATTATCACGAAATTTCGTTGGAGAAATAAGGACAACAACAATTAACTGCAGAGTAAGTTTCATTGATCTTTATTTAGTATTTCCTAGAAATTTTAGGATGGTATTTTTACCCCATACAAACACTGTAATTTTACTGGAACCGTACTGTGGTACTATCACAGAGCCTGGGTGACCTGTGTCGAAACCTGTATAAGGCATCGTCTACACGTATCCGAAAATTTGTGAAAACGCATTTTTTTTTTTACGAATACGGCTTGCGTATCCGGAAATTTCTGAAAACGCTCTCCAGAGTGGAAATTTTTTTTATCCGATACGAATACGTATACGTGTGGACGGTCGTATCCGGAAATTTTCGAATACGCTTTCGTCTTTCTCTTGGATCCAGTCTTCACGGCGAGCATTATAAACAAACATGGCGTACGGCAAGGTTGTAGCTTCTTTGTTACTTGCTCTGATTTCTAGTTTGATATCATGCGTTCAGAATAATTCAGCTGTGATAAATTTACACAACCAATACATTAGAGATCGACAGGATGTTTTGAGATTGTTATCAATGAACAGTGGGCATCATATAAAGTCAAAAAAAGAGCGAACAATCACCGAAGGCGATTCTGGACGCGACCAGGAAGGACAAGTGCATGTTGGGACAATTTTATCAATGGCACAATGATCGAAGAAGAATGGAGAGAGAATTTTAGAATGTCTAAAACGTCATTGCTGAAGCTATCCGAAGAGTGGAGACCGTACATTGAAGGAAAAGAGACCATCATGCGTTCTCCTGTGGATGTTGTGAAGCAAGTTGCCTTAACTCTATATTAGGGACCTTACGATCCGACAACGGCGACGGCAACGGCAACGTGAGAAGTCTGGGTCGAGCTGGGCCACGTCGTGTTGGCGTTCCCGCCAAAATTGAGATTACGAATTTTACGAGCGAGAACGTTGACGACGGTCAGTGATGTTTATCGTGTTTAAGTCAACGAAAGTTTTTTAGAAAGCCATGCCAAAGTTCCGTGACACTATTCTCCTGGCTCATGCTTCCCGTTTGATTAACGCTGAAGAATTCGTGCTACTCTACGATTTACACAAGCCTAAAATTAAAGTTAGTGTACGGATTTACCGTACACTAACTACGAGTGCTTCGATCTCGACAAGATGACCGATGATGAATGTAAAACTGAGTTTAGATTTTACAAGAATGACATTTACAACTTGGCAGAAGTGTTTACTTTACCGGATCGGATCGTTTGCTACAATAGTGTAAATGTCGACATGGTTGAGGCATTGTGCATTTTTCTTAAAAGATTTGCCTATCCCTGTAGATACGTAGACATGATACCCAGATTTGGAAGGCCAAAACCACAATTGTGTATGATCTCAAATGCTGTTATGAACAAGATGTATCAAACATGGAACCGCCTTCTCATTGATTTGAACCAGGATTGGTTAAGACCCGATCATTTAGAGGAGTTTGCCGTTGCAGTTCACAACAGGGGAGCTGCTCTTGAAAACTGTTGGGGGTTTGTTGACGGTACTGTGAGGCCCATATGCCGACCAGGACAAAACCAAAAGTGCTTATACAATGGTCACAAAAAAGTCCATGCTATAAAGTTTCAATCTATCGCAGCACCCAGTGGCCTTGTTGCCAACCTGTTTGGGCCTGTCGAGGGAAAGAGACATGACAGTGGGATGTTAGCTAGATCTGGAGTGTTAAACCAATTGCAACGATTTTCAGTGGACACAAATGGGAACCCCCTATGTATTTATGGAGATCCGGCATATCCTCTTCGACTACATCTGCAAGGACCTTTTCGAGGAGCTGGACTAACTCCCATACAGTCTGCATGGAATGAATCTATGAGTGAAGTCAGAGTTTCTGTTGAATGGATTTTTGGTGATATAATAAATTATTTTAAATTTCTGGACTTCAAAAAAAACTTGAAAATAAGTTTAAGTGCTGTTGGCAAAATGTATGTGACATGTGCCCTTCTTCACAATGCTCGTGTTTGTTGTTACGGATCCACCACATCAGACTACTTTGATGTTTCTCCCCCAGAAATTGGGGATTATTTTCACTAAGTCTGCCAAACAGGTTTTACAAAAGTTACATAACACTTTTCCTTTCGAAAATTGAACTGCTTTTTAATAAAAAAAAATTATGCAATCGAGAAAGGCTAACATATTGGAATTAAAGTGAAATAAATGCCACCAAAACAAACTATTAAATGAGAACAAATAATGGTGAGCATGTTTACAGAGAGTAATGCAATTCTATAGTTGGATAAGCCCTATTACCTTGATAAAGGCTCAGCCCCAGTTTTGATACTGGCATAACATCAATTCGGTGACTTTCAAAGGTTGGCAAAATTAAGCAACATTTCCTTTACAACTATATATGTAAACAAGTAATTATTATTATAAATCTTTAATTTTTAACTTCCTTGAAAATGTTCAAGTTAATAAAAATGTGAACTCTTTGTGCATTCAAATGACCTCTTGCAGAGATTGACCAGCATCACTTCCCAGCAAACTTTTTCATTAGTTCCATAAGTGCAAGGGTTTGTTGTTGGTGCTGTTGCATCATGTTTGCATTCATTTGCATAAACTGCTACATTTGCTGCTGCTGAAGCTGCTGAATATCTCTAGTTTGCTTGTTCATCATATCAAACTGCTGTTGTCTTCCTTCCTGCTCCTTTGCTTGCAGTGCTAACTCTTGCCTTTTTATCTCCAATTCATCACGTTTTAAAGTAGCTTCTACTTCTGCCCTATCCTTCAGGTAAGCCAGAGTGCTTGCACCACTAGCTCTACCCTTTTTCGGTCTTGCTCCTTGCTGTTCATCGGCATTCCTTTTGGCGCTATCTTTAAAAGTTTCCAATGATCTCTTCCGCATTTCCTCTGCTTTCTTTGCTTCTTCTTCCTGCTTTTGTTTTGTTTGATCTGTGATTTTGTCAGACTCATCAAAGAGTTCAATGGTTTCATCTAACAGTTGATCTAGTTCCTTGTCCTCTTCAGGGGCAATACCTGAGGCTCTG